AGATGGCCCACACCTAGTCTTTGAGGGCCTCGCTGAGAAGGGCAGCTTGCCATCGTCAGCAAGGTGCCCCATAATGGTGGGTCCCTCAGTTGACGTCATCCTTTCTCGTGGCCTATCTTAATGTCTTTCGCGTTGCCAAAGTATATGTGCCATATCGGCCCGTTCGTGCACGCACCATGGGCAGCCAGGCGACGGGTGCAGCGTGGGCCATAAGCGGTGCAGATGGTAGGGGTTGGTGATACTGCCCGTCTGCAGCCTTCTCAGGTCCACCACCTGTGACCTGTCCAGGCGCACGTGGGGTTGCGGAAATTTCTTCCGGTCTTTCGTATAGTGCGCAAGCACGTCGTGTTACGTGGCAGGAAATGCTTCTCCATAGCAGTTGGCGCACCTCTGTTGTCTCGCCTCTTCTGCACCAACTTCAGTTGCTGCAGCAACGGACGTGGTGGTAATTTAGGCAGTGCCTGTGGCCACCACCGTGCCTCAGCCGGTGCTCCTCCGAACCACGGTGGCGGCTGCTCCCTGGGTGGCTGCGTCGCGACGGGTAAGTTGCCTCGCGACGAAGTGGGCGCGTTGGTTATGGTTGGGTGGGATGCCGGTTAGTCTTTGGCTGTTGCCGTTGTTGCTGCTAATTTTACGGCTGTTGTTGATAGTTCCACTGTCCCCCATGTGAGCGGGGAACCACTTGAGGGCCTTGTCAGTAATCTGGCCTGACGCGAAGTCCCCAGCTCTGGCGTTGAGCATGCGTGCCACCTCCTCGGACACCCAGCATTTAATATAGCTCCGAATCGCTGATTTAAAATCGCTAATAAACAGGCTGTCGTCTGCACCGCTGTGGAGTACCGCTAAAGATATGGCCATTTCTTCTACAGCTTCGGATGATGGCAGCCGTGCTGATGCCGTGACACGAATCTTTCCTGTTGTATCCAGGACCGCCATAGAGAAAGCAGGTCCCGCCGCCGCTGACCGGACTCGCTGTTGATGTTGCCGCTGTCGCTGCAGTCGTTGTTGCCGTAGCAGTAGCGGTGGTGGTAGTGTTAGTGCCTTGACTTCGACTCGCTCGTTCACGGGTAGCAGCAGGGGTTCTGAGCGTCCCTCATCGCCGCCGCCGGCTGACAGAGGATACCTGTCCGCATCGACGAAGAGGACACCCTCTTGGCTTCTATGCGCCTTCAGTATTGCTGCAGCTCTGCATTTGCGTCGTTGCAAGTCGTGAACGGGGTACATGTTCCTGGGGACGTTTTCTGTCAGTATGGCGTTCCTGACTTTCGGTAGCAATGCTTCCTTCAGTCCACGCGCCTCATGATATCGAATCCCGAGCAGATCGAGAATGCGTCTTCTAGTTTTTGTGCCAGACAACCTGTCGAGCTGTCCGATTCTCTGCGCTTCTGCTATCTCGTCGAGGGTGTTGTGCACACCCAGCTCCAGAAGCCTACGGGTTTCCGTGTACTGGGGCACACCCAGGGCTACCTTGAACGCTCGACGAATTGCCGCGCTCAGCTTCTCGGTTTCGCTTCTGTTCCAGTCGGCATACGCGGCGACATACGCTATGTGGCTCAGCGTGTACGCATGTATTAACTTCGTCACGTTGTGTTCCTTTAGCCCTTTTCTTTTTTTCGCTACCCGACGCACAAGGTGCGTTACGGCGGCCACTTTCTTTTGCAGTCGTGCTACCAGCTCGAGGTTCGCACCATTCTCTTCCAGCCACAGGCTGAGCGCTCGTATTTTTTGGACACTGTTGGTATTTGGGTCCCCTCCTTCGTCATGACGTGGATGCCCAAGCGACGGGCATCCAGTACAGCCTGCGGGTGAGGTCCTTTCTTGCGTGGTCTATGCAGGAGTATTTCCGATTTATCGAGAGAACAGACGAGTCCCGTGCCTTCAAGGTGCCGCTCCATGGCCTGGACGGCCTGCTGCATTCTCTCTTGCATTTCACTAACGCTCGTATTCGCTGTGGCTTCACGGTCACGTCGTCTGCATAGATCGTGTGATTGATGCCCTCTATTGCGTCAAGACGGTCCGGTAGTCCGGTCATGATGAGGTTGAAAAGCATGGGAGAGAGCACCGAGCCCTGTGGCGTACCCGCACCCCCCATGTCAACTGTTCGTGGTGGGGCACTGTCAATCTTCACCGTGGCCTTGCGTCCGGTCAGGAAGCTGCTGACGTACCGGTGGAACCTTGAACCAAGATCTAGTTGGCTGATCTTATCCAAAATGGCAGCATGTTTTACTGTATCGAAGGCGCTTTTGAGGTCTAACCTGTAACTGGTGCAAATACGATGATTATGAGATGCGTGTCACGTGAGAACATGACTACATGCTACAGTCAAGGCGCCAGTACATTTCGACGTGACGCGGTGCACGTGCTCACTGGCGTTCATCTCGTCGAGTCACGCCGGCGTTGCCACGTCAGGTGCCGGTCCTGCCATATACTCGCAGGAGCACGCGGCGATGCGTTGCTTTGACGCATGCGCGTGTCAGCGCGTCCGGCGTCCCTCCGTCACGAAAAGAGGGAGACGCAGTGTTGTCTGGGTAGCGCATCGGCGCGAAATGCAGAATGTCGCATTTCGTGCTGTTTGCCACCGGGCCGCACCGACGGACTCTGGTCGCGCCTGGCGTCAGACTATAGAGGGCTCGCGTTTTGCGAACATAGCGTCGCTGTGCCCATGGAGTGTGCGTGCGCGTCAACGCTAAAGGGGGGTGTATATTGGGCCTTTTGTGATGGCGGGTGCGGCCGTTTTGCTAGCTCCACATATACCAAATTTGGTGTTATGTGACGTCATGAATGACGAAATATATGACTGGTGCAAACATGATAATCTTGTCTCGCAAGTCATGTAAGAAAACGACAATATACCACGCTATTAGAGTGCTCGCTGTCATTTCGCTAGCTCCACATATACTGAATTTGGATCACGTGACGTGGATAGATGACAAGGGTAATTGGCACATCCAAATATGAGAATCATGACAAGGAAGTCATTTACCTCTACCTCGTAACGTTGTGCTGGTTTAAAGTGGCGTATCAGCATTCCTCACTCGTGCTTCGCATATCCTCGATTCCCGCTGTATGCGTGGTATCTGCCAATTTTTTGTTCGTTTCGCCGTTGTGTTTTCTCATACGCCACTTATTGAATGTATGATCGACGCTCGCACGTTCAGGTTAAAAAAAGTGGGCAGGTACAGATATGCTGTCTTAAATGCTTTGTTGTAAAACGAAATATCCAGCGCCACACACACAAGTGACGTTGCACACACATACATAACGCCTACAGAAGGCGTTTTTTCCAAAGAGTTTGTAGACTATGGCGTGGCTCTGTCACAGAATACCTGACTGCGACGCAGAATGCTTGGATTATATTCTAGTTAGGATCCTGATTTCCCTTCTTGCATTCGTAGGGTTAACACTGCCGATGTCGGTCTTTCTTAACGATGTCATGTTCAAACTACCAATGTCTGGTGTGGCCACTTCTGGGTAGACGGGAATGGTGAATCATTCCTGGCGCACACCCGCAGACTGCGACCCATGATGTACGGGTATGTGCTGTGCACATCGGGAGGAAAGCACTTGACAACGTACATGACAGGATTTTCACAATATTCATGTAATGACCAAACAGCCATACTTGTCAAATGATCTTACCTCTCCACACCAATTTTGGTTTCCACGAAGTCGAGACGATCACGAGAGCACCTAAGCGTGAGAGGCTAGATAGATAGAAACAATCGAAGTGTCTTAGGTTCGCTCAGAAAAGCTTGGGGTTGAAACGATGAGCAATGTTGTTTTTCATATCATATCCTAGTATTAACAAGTTACACAGTCAGCTCAACGCGTAATCATAACACACAGCCGACGTAGAAAGACTACTGCGCAGTTTTCGTAACAGGTAACCATACGACATACTCGGCGTGACAGGCAATCGTAATACGCAGGTTAGCTATGGCCGAGTGAAAACGCTGGGAGGCTAATGCCGAATAACTTTGATTAAACGATAGAAAATGGCAGCAAACGAAAAAAATGGCAGCCAGTGTTAGGTAAATAACCGCTCATGTCGTCTATGCAGGTCAAGTGGTGGCAGATGTGGCATAAAGCTACTGTATGTTAGTTAAGAAATACAATAGCAGCGGCTTGTTTCGGGCGACATATGATCTACGGTTAGTAAACAATTGTCCAGAATTAGTGTGCGTATGATACCACGTTTTTGTTGGAATTGACCTTGCGGAATCACAAACTGAAATGGATTATGCCCTGCTATGTTTCAACTGTAACCAAAATGAAACATGTACGTTTTCTTGTCGCAAAAAAGAGAAAAAACTAACCAGCTAGAGATATTTACACTTAAGGCTACACAGTTTACCGCTGATGGTAGTCGAGGCATGTAAATATTCACAATGTAGTTTTGATTTTAGCGTGCACTGAGAAGCTAACCACTTGGTAGAAAAAGCGCATCGACAAACACGGAAGAAAGAAAAAAAAGACAAACTTACCACACATTAGCAACTATGTCTTGTGGATATCCGATATCCACCACGATTTTCTCTAATATGGGGCTTAATTGCCGACCCAAAAGATCATGGCATGTAATGCGTGCTCCGACTGCTGCATACCGAAGGAGGCCAAATGCTAACAACTCGTGTACTCAGATTTAGGTAGACATTAAAGAATTCCAGGGGGGGGGGGGGTCGAATTTTCTGGAGCCCTGCACTTTGTCCGTCATAATCATATAATTGTTTTGAGATGCCAAACCCAAACAATAATAACTATCCTTATTGGACTTCAGGCTCACCGTCTCCCGTCCGTAGTCAAAGCAAGCCAGACAGAAGCGTGGAAGTGCTAAAGATTTACCTTTATTATTACTCTTCATATTGGAAGTCAGGCTGTATGCCTCCCGGCCGTACTCAAAGCAAGGCAGACATTGGCATCACAGTACGAAAGACGTCTTTACCCGAGACAGCATCGCTTTTCCACCATTGCCGCAATGTCCGGGTCACGTGCTCGTGCAGCTGCTGATCCTGGACGAACCGACGACCGGAATGGACCCCGAAACTCGACGCAGCATTTGGGACTTGGTGGGCGAGCTTCGAAACAACACGAGCATCTTGCTGTCGACGCACGACATGGAGGAAGCCGATGTGCTTGCAGACCGCATCGTCATGCTGAGCTCGGGAAAAGTCGTCTGCGCCGGCTCGCCAGCCTTTCTCAAGCAAGCATGTGGTGCGTACTTGTTTTTTAAGAGAATTGCGTTATTGACTTCCGCTATATAACACTAAAGTGAGACGTGTCTTCACGGAGAAAGTTCACGTTTATTAGATGTAAAGTATCTTATGGTTGGACTCAATCCGGCGGTGTGCGGATTGAGTTCAAACATCGAGTTTCTCCCCTTCTACGTTTCACGCTCTCTCTCTTCTAGGCATCCCTTCCTGCAGCGTTCATGGACGCATTACGCATGCGTGCCCCCTTTCACTCCTCTATTACGCTCCTCCCTTTCTCGCCTCGAAACGCCGACGAAGGGAGCGTGCCTAGTTTACAATTACTCCCCCCTCTCTTACAGGCATCCCTCTCGGAGACGTATACACACCCATTGCTCATGCGTGCTTCAAGAGGCATCTGGGGATTTCGTCCTAAAACGCTAGCTTTAACTTCAAATGTTGCAGGTGTGGGCTACACGATCAACGTGAACACTGAGTCCGGCGACTTCGACCTCAATGAGACGTTGCACATCGTCCGAAAGACGGCGCCACACGCCGTGGTGCAGAATGAGAAGCAAGGCACCACGACGCTCGCGCTGCAGACCACCGACCACACGGGCTTCGCAGAGATGTTCAAGAAGCTCGAAGAAAGTTCCAAGCGCCTGGGGATCGCAAGCTTCGGCGTCACTGTGGCCACGATGGCGGACGTGTATATCAAGTGAGCCGGCGTCTTTTGGCGGCCTTCTGTGCGCACTGTAAAGCATCTCGGACGACAGTATAGATGCTTATTCGTGTGGACGAACATATCCACTTCCTCTAAAAAAGTGGTTTTTCTCTCAGAATAAACGGGCTGCTTGCGTAATGTACACATTTGCGGGCACAAATGGGTACATTGGTATTAATCTAATACCAAACAGGAAAAGTTCCCGCCGAATAAATTATCTATTCATTACCCTGAGTGCACTCTTCTGAAGTGCTTCACAAGTCCGGCAAATCCAACGCAATGTGGAAATCAATTTTATGCGAAGCACTGAGTGAGTAGCATCATATGCCGGATCCTTTGCCCTGAGCCAAGCGTTGCATCGTTTTGTTCATGCAAATCGTGTCGCTATGCTTATATTGTGGGTGCACTATAAGGCACCCATCGCACCGCCGTTTATAGAATAGCGGATGGTCTAGCTTAACGTCGGCGTTTACATTTAGCGGAGTAGAGATTTTACATGGAGGAAGTGTGCTACGATGACGTGCATATCAGAAGTAGCTGTCGTAGGCGTATTTGTGGAACGCTTGACTATGGCTGACGGAGTGTACACTTGGCGACAACTTTCTGTTTCAGGAACTGTAGTGCGTAGGAGGGTTTTTCAGTTTTGGTTTCACTAGCTCACTTAGCATGTGCGTTTTCGTATTAAAATCCACGGCTTTATCGACAAAACAGTGTTGTTGGAAAGGATGCCTATCTTATATATATATATATATATATATATATATATATATATATATATATATATATATATATATATATATAAGGGAAAGAAGTGTATACCTAAGGGCTCGTTTTTCCGTGTTTTAACACAATAATAATGGGATCTAACAGACAATAATGCCAAGGAATGTACAGGGGAAGTTATTACAACCAATGGAATGTAAATAGGAAGAAAGAAAAGTGGATGAAAAAATAACCAGCCGTGAGCAGGAATCGAACCCACGACCTTCGAATAACGCGTTCGATGCTCTAACCACTGAGCTACCACAGCTGCCTTGTATCTTGTATATATATATATATATATATATATATATATGAGCTACCACAGCTGTCTTGTATCTTGTGTATATATATATATATATATATATATATATATATATATATATATATATATATATATATATATATTGAAACGGGGTGTTGAACCAGTTGACTCGGCGAACGAAAGCTTTATTGAGCGCAAGGGCTAACTGAACGCAAGCCTGCGATCACAGCAAGTCTTCTTCCTTTTCTATATTCGAGCTCCATGCCCACTGCCCTCGTTACAATCACCCCCGGGCGATGAGGGAGCCATTCTGGCGACCTAAGGACAGGTGTACCCAGAAGGGTCATGGTATGGCTTGAGCCGAGAAATGTGTACAATTCTTGTCCCCGACGGCGCTTGTCCGGAGATGCATCCAGCGGCTCGACGAGGTAGTTGACAGGGGATGTTTGGCGTATAACTCGATAAGGGCCATGGTACTTGGACGAAAGCTTGTGGGAGAGTCCTGGAGGAGTAGCAGGAATCCATAACCACACCAGTGAGTTCGGTGCAAAGCTCATAGGCGTGGCTGATGCGTCGTGGCGATGTTTTTGGTGCGTCTGGTCATGTGACGTGAACGCACGAGCAAGCTTCCGACATTCTTCAGCGTGTGCTGCTGCTCGAGAAACGGTAGTCATCTCTGAAGGGTCCGGTTGATAAGGAAGAATAGTATCCATTGTTGATGATGGCTCGCGTCCATAAAGAAGAAAGAAAGGCGAAAATCCAGTGGTGCTTTGCGTTGCAGTGTTGTAAGCATATGTCACAAAAGGCAGTATGCTATCCCAATTTGACTGGTCGGATGAAGCGTACTTGGCCAGCATATCCCCAATTGTACGATTAAAACGCTCTGTCATCCCATTAGTTTGCGGGTGATAAGCTGTGGTAGTGCGGTGTATGATGCGACACTCGCTCAACAACGCTTTGATAGCATCGGAGAGAAAAACGCGGCCGCGGTCGCTTAGTAACTCTCGAGGTGCTCCATGCCTTAAAACCAGGTTTTGCAGTATAAAACACGCAACGTCTTTTGCGGTAGCAGAAGGTAACGCAGCTGTTTCAGCGTACCGCGTTAGGTGGTCGATAGCGACAATGACCCAGCGGTTGCTACTCGAGGTATAGGGAAGCGGACCGTAAAGGTCGATTCCGACACGATCGAAAGCTCGTGCTGGACATGGCAACGGCTGCAAGGAACCTGTGGCATGCTGAGTGGGCATTTTGCGTCGCTGGCACGTAAGGCAAGACCTTACGTAACGGCGAACGAAACGGTACATACCGCGCGAGTAGTACCGCAGCTGCAAGCGAGTGTATGTTTTTAACACACCAGCGTGGCCACATTGCGGATCATCGTGGAACGTGGCACAGATGTCAGAGCGCAGATGTCGGGGAATGACGAGCAACCACTTACGACCCATCGAACTGTAGTTTCGGCGGTAAAGCAGGTTATCCCGAATAGCGAAGTGTCCTGCTTGACGGCGAAGCGTCCTGGAAACTGGAGCAGGCGTCCGGTTTGAGAGCAAGTCCAAAAGAGAAGAAATCCAAGCATCTTTGCGTTGCTCGGAAGGCATGTCCGAAATGCTGATGGCCAAGGCAGCACTGGTGGAGATAGGCTTGCCGACAGGTTCTGAAGCCAATGGCGAACGTGACAGGGCATCGGCGTCGGAATGCTTACGGCCAGAACGGTAGACAACACGGATATCGAACTCCTGTAACCGCAATGCCCAACGAGCGAGCCGACCATTAGGATCTTTTAGAGAAGATAACCAGCAAAGCGCATGGTGGTCTGCTACAATATCAAACGGATGTCCATATAAATAAGGCCGAAATTTTCCAATTGCCCAAATAATGGCAAGGCACTCCTTTTCAGTTACACTGTAATTCTTCTCGGCTTTACTGAGGGTGCGGCTGGCATAGGCAACGACGTACTCGTCAAAGCCATCTTTGCGTTGGGCCAGTATGGCCCCTAGGCCGACACCACTAGCGTCTGTATGAAGCTCCGTTGGAGCAGATGGATCGAAATGTCGGAGTATGGGAGGCGTGGTGAGATGCCGTCGGAGTTCCTGAAATGCATCATCACACGCCTGCGACCACGCTGACAAATCAGACCTCCCGGCAAGAAGATTGGTCAAGGGGGCGATAATGGAGGCGAAATTGCGGACGTAGCGCCGGAAGTAAGAACATAGGCCGATGAAGCTTCGAAGCTCTTTGACGGTGGTTGGCTTTGGGAACGCCGCGACTGCATTAAGTTTCGTAGGGTCCGGGAGAATGCCGTCCTTAGAAACCACATGGCCGAGAATTACAAGCTTGCGAGCGCCGAAGTGGCATTTCTTCAAGTTAAGTTGAAGTCTCGCCGTTGAAAGGCACGTAAGAACTTGCTCGAGGCGGCTGAGGTGGGTCGCAAAGTCGCTTGAAAATACCACAATGTCGTCCAAATAACAGAGGCACGTTTTCCATTTCATACCTCGCAAGACGGTATCCATCATTCTTTCGAAAGTGGCAGGCGCATTGCAGAGGCCAAAGGGCATAACGGTGAATTCATATAGTCCATCCGGTGTTACAAAGGCTGTCTTCGGGCGGTCACCCTCTGCCATGGGCACCTGCCAGTAGCCGGAGCGTAAATCTAACGAAGAAAAGAACTCTGCTCCTTGTAGGCAGTCCAAAGCATCATCGATGCGCGGCAGAGGGTATACGTCTTTGCGCGTTATCTTGTTGAGTCGGTGGTAGTCAACGCAGAACCGGATGGATCCGTCTTTTTTCTTGACGAGAACAACCGGTGAAGCCCAGGGACTGTTGGAGGGCTCGATGATGCCACGTTTCAACATGTCGTCCACTTGTTCGTCGATGACACGGCGTTCAGCAGATGACACACGGTACGGACGCTGCCTTAGTGGGGCTTGTTGACCGGTGTCAATACGGTGAACGACCGCAGAGGTTCGGCTTAAGCCTGACTGGTCACGATCGAATGAAGAACGAAAGCGGAGAAGAAGATTTATAATCTCTTTGCGCTGAGTTGGTGCGAGCTCAGAGTCGATGGCATCCGAGAATACGTCCAGAGCATCATTAGGCGAGTTGGTAGGAGTGACAGCACAAATTGGGAGCGAAACCGTTGAATCGGGTATAGTAGCCGGAAGAATGCACTCGCAAGGTTCGTAGCTTCCCAGGCATTCTCCACGTAGTAAGGATGACGGGCTGTCCGAGGGATTGCACACATAAATGGCAGCGTGACCATTGCGAAAAATGACGACGGCAAACGGAAGCATGATATTTCGACGGCACGCAGATGGGACCGATGGCATAAACAACACAGGCGATTTCGGGGGGGAGGCACACGACACCGAGACAACAACAGCTGAGAAAGGCGCAATGTCAACGTCAGAAGCAGCAAACACTCTACACGAAGCGCCATCGTCGGGGTCATAGCACGGCACAGATAATGCGAGTTCGGAACGAGCACAGTCGACCAAAGCAGAATTTGACGAAAGAAAGTCCCACCCAAGGATAACGTCATGTGAAGAACGGAATAAAACTACAAATGAGACGACGTACATCGCACCTTGAATGACGACTCGTGCAGTGCACACAGCTGAAGGCTGAATATGATGGGACGTAGCTGTCTGCAAAGATAGGTCGGTAAGTTGTGTGGTCACTTTCTTCAAGTTTCGGCAGAGTTTCTCGCTAATTACAGATACGGCAGCTCCAGTGTCAACAAGTCCGTGCACCTTTATGCCATCTATATAGAGTTCGATTTCGTTCGGGGGACAGCAGTTAGGTCTTGAAATTTTCGCTGCCAACGCAGTTCTTGCCTCCGGAACTGCGCCCGTCAGTTTTCCCTTCGCGGTGGGCTGTTGCGACGTAACATTGGAGAAATGGATCTGCGACGAGGAGAAGGCGAATGGCTTGAGCCGGATGGGCGGCGACCGGTACGTACGTCTAGAGGTGG